ACCTGTAGATGGACCTGGTTGGACCTGTTTGGACCTGTAGTTGGACCTGTTTGGACCTGTAGTTGGACCTGTTTGGACCTGTAGTTGGACCTGTTTGGACCTGTAGTTGGACCTGTTTGGACCTGTAGATGGACCTGTTTGGACCTGTAGATGGACCTGTTTGGACCTGTAGATGGACCTTTTTGGACCTGTAGATGGATCTGTTTGGACCTGTAGATGGATCTGTTTGGACCTGTAGATGGATCTGTTTGGACCTGTAGTTGGACCTGTTTGGACCTGTAGATGGACCTGTCTTGACTAAAGGAGTGTCCACCTGGTCCCAGTGGTTCTGAATGGACTCGGTTCATGTTTAACTCTGTGTTTGTCCTCAGAGGGTTCTGGCCGAGTTCCCAGAGAAGGAGCTCCAGATGAACCAGATGGAGGTGTGGGTCCAGAAAGTCCTGGACAGAACCTCCAGGGACGGGCAGGTCCACATCCAGAAAGACATGAAGCGTCTCTCAGAGCTCTGGACGTCTCTGTGCAGCCTGAGCCTGAACCTGCACAGGTASCTGCTGATGAGGGGCGGGGCTCTGTGAAACGGGTCCATCCGGGTCAGACTAACTGTTCTTTGTCCTGTCAGGCTGCTGGACGGGTCCACAGAGACGGACTCTGGACCAGCGCAGAGGAGAAGAGGAGCAGAAGCAGAACATCTCGGTCCATCAGGGATAATCAGCGGACTCGGATCTACAGAACCAGATGGTTCTGGTCTCGGATTATCAGAAGGTCTCAGGAGACGTTCTGCAGGAGCTGATCTGGTTCCTGAGGGGACACCYGGGTCCAGAGGAGGAGACAGAACCAGGGTAAAGATCTGTCTTTTTAGTTTCTGCAGCATCATCAGAGTCAGTGTGTTTATAAACCTGTTGGTGGTTCAGAACCGGTTCTAGATCAGTTGGGTCAGGTTTAACCAGAGAACGACTGTCAGAACTWTCTGTCCCCGGTACATTTAATGAAAGTCCACACAGAAAGTTCTGATCCGGTCTCAGAACAGACCAGAAGCARCAGCTGACCTCTGAGATGTGTTTGGGTTCTGCAGGGCAGCAGAGGACCCAATTGGACCTGGTTCCAGGCCTGGCTGTCCAGAGAGAAGGAGGTTCTGTCTGAGATCCAGAGAACCAACAGGACAGAACTCAGTACCAAGGAGGTCCAAATCAGACAGGACACCCTGAAGGTAAACACATCTAACTACTGAGGTGTTAATAACATATTAATAACAGGTGAACACAGTAACGCATGTTAACGCATGTTATTAAATTATTATCAACACATTAAGTAATGCATGTTAATATTAACACATTATTAATGTGTTAATATTAACACGTTATTAATGTGTTAATATTAACACATTAATAACATGTTATTAATATTTTAACATGTTCTTAATGTGTTATTATTAACACAATAAAGAACGTGTTATTAACATGTTATTAATGGGTTAATATTAACACATTAATAACATGTTATTAATATTTTAACATGTTATTAATGTGTTATTATTAACATGATAAAGAACATGTTATTAACATGTTATTAATTGGTTAATATTAGCACATTATTAATGTGTTAATATTAACACATTAATAACATGTTATTAATGTTTTAACATGTTATTAATGTGTTATTATTAACACAACAAAGAACATGTTATTAACATGTTATTAATTGGTTAATATTAGCACATTATTAATGTNGTTTGGACCTGTTTGGACCTGTAGTTGGATATAGTTGGACCTGTTTGGACCTGGTTTGGACCTGTTTGGACCTGTAGTTGGATCTGTTTGGACCTGTAGTTGGACCTGTTTGGACCTGTAATTGGACCTGTTTGGACCTGTAGATGGACCTGTTTGGACCTGTAGTTGGACCTTTTTGGACCTTTAGATGGATCTGTTTGGACCTGTAGATGGATCTGTTTGGACCTGTAGATGGATCTTTTTGGACCTTTAGATGGATCTGTTTGGACCTGTAGATGGATCTGTTTG